GTCACGTAGCTTTCCGTTGACCTGGAGGTCCACCCATTTGTAGTTGGGCAACAGAAGATGCCTGGGACTGTTCAGCCATAACTTTTCCTGCTCATACATGCCTGGGTACAATCTTGTCACTGACGTAGACGTGCAACGAGATATCATAGCGTGGCAAGCACGTTCATCATAGTTTAAACCCCTTGTTTTGCACAAGGGAATACGGCCTCCCGTCTGCAGCTAAACACCCCAGTAGCTTTTGTAATAGCTTTAGCCCGGTCGGATTGGGGAGCAAAGGGCTGCTTAAATGCCGCAAACTCCTCTACTCCTCCACTTGGACCACTAGCGCTGGCCGTAACTATCACTTGACAGACTGACCACGCGCACCATACACATACTTTTTTTCCTTCTTTTTTGAATCTTCGGATCACGTGCGTCCCGAACCATGGAGTGTGATCAGTTCGGATTACGGATCAACCGTGATCCGTTGCACCACTATTCTCTTGGCACCTTATCATATCTAGATCAACAAAAACGCAGTAAAACTCCTGGCCTTCACTTCTCGATCAACACTCTCAAAGCAAATATTGCATCTGTTGTGCTCTTTCATAATATAAAACCATATTTGCTGCTCAGTTCTCCCTACTTAATCTAGCTTGAACAACTCTTTCCCATATCCTCGTGGTATGGTTCATCAGCTTTATTCCTTCTGTAGTTACTGCAGCTTTGTACATCACCATAACTCTTAAAAATCAGTACCAGTACACTTCTCCATTCCTCAGGCCTCCACTTACTCTCCAGGACTGTGTGACTTAAGATTGGGTGACTATAATCTTAAGTCACAAAAGTAAATTCACTCCAGATTTCAGCAAGGAGTGAATTTACTTTTCATTTCAAAAACAAAACAAAAACTATGACTAGTCCATTCATATTGAATTTTCATATAGGCCTTTATCTTTTACCCTCATTGACCTGGTGTTTTATATGATTGTATTTACAATGAATTTACATTTCTTGGTCGGAGGGGTACTCGCTCGTTGTCTTTGCTCATTCCTGGAATGATGACAGTCATCCTTCTGGGTCCTTTTATTCCCAAGACATTGGTTTCCTGTTGTCAGAAATAACCAAAACAAAATCAAATACAGTTCTTATTATTCATACAATGTACTGTAGTTAAACGTTCTGCAGTAAAATGACTTACGTAGATGATGCCTGCTAACTCTTGCCGAGCATTAGACATGTCTGGAAGAGCTTTTTCTGGATTCACAGCGTTGTCAAACACAGTGAACTTAGTCCCCATTAAATTTGACCTAGGCAATGTATAAAACACATTCAGTTAAAATGCACCTAATTAATACTTTGTACCTAATTAATAGTTTGTTTACCTGCTTTGCAATTTAAACAAAAATCCTTTTACCTCAGCTTTCCCACAAAATTCTCGCCTCCTCTTGATAAATCTGTGGCATCGATGGAGATGAGGTAATTTGAAGTTGTACTTTTCTTTCTCTTCCGTCCAGCCAGTAGAAACGTCTACAAAGAAAGAAAGAAAAAAGGGAGGGGGGGACAGGACACAGACAAATGACAACTGTCCATGATAGCAGTAATTAAAATTAATAAATGAAAGGAGAACTACTGAATGTGCTGTTGTACTGTGTTTACAATTTTGGTCTGCATTTTGCAACTTTTTAAAACATGATACTGACCTTTTTTTCATTGTCTAGATGAAGGTAATACAAAGGGTAGAGGCTCTTATCCATCCCTCTCTGATCCCGAGTCACTCTGCATTTCACAGTCACACCCTGCGGAGCTGGCTCCATCACAAACTTCTCCAAGTTGTCAAATTCAATTTCAGGTGAGGGAGAGCGCTCCTGATAAAGAAGAAT